ACTGTAAAATATATATGTTATTTCAGTTGAAAGATGCCATCTTAAGGATTTTAAGGTAACAATGTAATTTTGTGGAAAAACAAATTATTCAAAGCTCTGGTTTTAAATAAAAACTGGAAGGAGTCTTTTTTTTTATTGAGATACTACAGTAGAGAGATGACAGGAAAGCTCTGGGAGGAGAGAGGAGAGTCGGATCGGCAAAGGACCTCGACTCGAACTCGGGACGCCGTGAGTGCAGTTGCACCATGTGTCGACGCACTAACCACGAGGCTATTGGCACCGACAGGAAGTTTAAGTAAGTGTAAGTATATATATATTTTTAATTTAGCGAACAAGACTAGTACCGGCTAGGTGTCGGCATGATTGTGACCCAGTGTCGGCTTTCACTTTCTGAATGGTTTCAAAAATTACAACGAAAATCACACAAACACAGATGCTGCTGTCTAGTCAGAAACAAACTCAAAGTGTTTCTCTTCTTCTGTATTTTATTGAGAAAAGGCAAACTAAGATAGTCAAGTCTGTGCAAGTTTTAGAAGAGGGTGGAGACTGGAGAGGGTTTATCAATTATCAACATTATCAAAATTTCTTCCCACGTTACTTGGCTTGATTTCCACTATATTTTATAACATGAAATCAGGGCGGGACATATGGAGCTCGACCCTCATCTAAAAAAGCCAATAGCATTTCACGTACGTCACAGCCTGACAAAACCACACCTGACAGCTTGTGACAGGCAGCCACACTTGTTGTATTAAAAATGGGGTCTATATAGATACCCTTTTTAGATATGAAATGAAACTGATGCAAAACAGTGAAATACCGCTATGCCCCTGTAAAATATTACTGCAAACCCTGCTCTGATGATGGATAGAGTTTATGACTGAATCGTTTTCTTTTAGCAAATAAGAACTAGCGTTAACAGACTGGCGAATGAAAGCTCATAATTCTGCTTAATTGTCAATGCAGCTCTCAAAATAGTAGGATGAGTTGGATATTTACTTAAACCATTGTAGGTGTCACGAATCCAGTCCGTGGCCTTCCGGCCGATTGCCACTAGAGGTCACTCTACCATTTCTCGAATCACGCTCACGGAAACCGCTTGAGAAACAGTGTCTCTTCCGCTGCTCGGTACGCTTTCAACTCTTTTCTTTTTTTTTTCTCGAGCAAGAGACTATAGACCTATGACATTGACATTACATGATTTGACAGATTTTTACGTAGAAAGGGCGACAGCGAACGCATTTAAATAAATTAACATTCATGTTTTCATAACCGCTGGCCAAATTCAAAAACGAAACTGAAATCAAATCATCATTGAGAGCAAGGGGCCCCCCTGGTGTTTTGGGGGCCCTACGCAGCTTGCGTACTTTGCGTATAGGAAGGATCGGCTCTGCCTATAGCCTACAGCCAGACAGTATGAAGAAACGTTATTGTGACTAATTTGCAGAGCGGTACATCAGATTAACTCTTATTCTGTGTGATGGGATATAGACAAGACAGGCTGAGTTAAAAATGCGTTTTTAGGGCCGCCCACACACAAATAATAAAGGGGTCATATGACGTTGCTAAAAAGAACATTATTTTGCATATTTGGTGTAATGAAATGTGTTTATGCGGTTTAAGGTTCAAAAAACATATTATTTTCCACATACTGTACATTATTGTTTCTCCTCTATGCCACGCCTTTCTGAAAAGCGTCGATTTTTACAAAGCTCATCGGTCTGAAAATGTTTCTGTGAATCTCTGCACACTAAACACGCAGGCCGTTTGTCGTCCAGACAGAAGAGCTTGAGTTTCTCACTGTGTAAACTGCAGGCCTCCTCAGACCCTGATAAACGCCTCTTATTTCTCCTCTCCTTCAGGTACGACTCACACACGTTTTTTAACACAAGATTACATGGAGGATCATCTCTTGAGGATCTTCTCCTACAGACAGGACACTCCCTAGTGTTCTTGGTCCTCCAGAACTGTTGAAGACACTCCTCACAGAAGCTGTGACTACATGACAGAAGAACAGGAGCCTTGAAGATTTCACAGCAAATCGGACAAGACATTTCCTTTACAGAGAATGAATCCATTTTTACAGTTCGAG